GAAGTTGTGAATGTATATTTTGTTTAGTTTATCCAGCTTGAAGGCAGAGAAAAGGGAAAGGTACTGATATCAGTGATACTGAGCTGGCAATATTGAGGGGCTTGAACTGCCTGGGTGAGGGGCACATCCCAGGATGAAGGAGAGCAATCAGCCTGCTTTGGCAGGGCTGGGAGCCACAGAGCATGGGGACCAGCTGACAGCAGCATGTCTGCTAAAGGTAAGTCAATATACCACTTCAGCTTTTGATCTTTAGCACAGTTTGTGGGTTTCTTTCTCTTCACAGCTCCATTCTATTAAATCAGAAAAAGTTTGAGCAAAGCCTCTGTGTTTTCCCGGTGTTTTCCTCCCACGTTTCCTGTTTCTTAAGACTTGTTGCCACTGCAATGGTGACTTTGCATTGAGTTTGAGCTGAATTCTTTCAGCTCCAAATGGAAAGGGCAGACGTGTTTTTAGACAAGAACAAGTTTAATAGTGCAGACAAACATTCTTGTTTTGAAACTAGTTTTGGACTCCTTTAATAGAGGGATCTAGTTATCCTTATTTACATCCTGCATGTCCAGAAGCTTTTCAGTAACTGTTTTAGAAATCCAGTGACCTTCACATTAAAAAATGCAGAGTGCCTGTCCCATAGCCACTGTCCTCTTTCCAAGTTTTAGCGCTGTTGCATGTGAGGACAAACCACTAGAATAGTAGTATATTAGTATAAATCTTCTAATGGTGAAGGTAGTGGTGGTTGGTTTTTTTTCCCCTTGCTGTTGTCCAGGGTTGTGTCTGGACTTGTTGCAAGAGCAGATTTTATTGGGACCTCCCTCCTTCTGCCCTCAGTTCTCTCGCCTCAAGCCTGTTGATGACCAGGCTTTTTCATATCATGTGCCAGCTATCTGGGACCTCACTTAGAAAAGGGGTAGTTTCAGGCTAACAGGGAGGCTTTTGTCTCTGTGTAAGAACAAGCTTATAAGCTTCCCTTAAACTGTAAATGTTTTATTGTTGGAAAGCTTTCAGATGTTCACAGGATAAGGGCTCTTTATGTGTAATCTGGCAATGCACAGTAAAGGATTACTTTATGTAAGTTAAGATGTGCAGTTCTTTTATAAACTGGCTGTGTAAATTCAGCATGTAGGAGATTGTTTTTCTCCTGTTCAATGTTGCTTCTAGAAAAGGTTTCTTGGTTTCAGTCAGTTGGAGGTTTGGTTGGTTGGTTGGTTGGTTGGTTGGTTTTAGTAAGGTTACAAATCTTAGGTGGTAGGAATAGATGGAAAATGCTGCACGCACCCTATTAAAATCTGAACATGTATGCTTCCACAGATTTGTTCAAACAGCAGTGTCAGCAGAGTCCTGGGTGACAGAATTCTCAACCAGTCTGAAAATGGTAACTCGAGATTGTTAGAGCAGTCCTAGTTACCTACTAATGAAAAATACTTTCTACTTTTCAAGACTTTGTGGCTTAAAATCTGTGTGATACGGTGTATTGTAACGTAAGCATGACTGACATTGAAACAGATGAAAAAGGCAGGATGCTACTCTGAAGAGACTAACCAACACTTTCTTTACAAAGTAGATCCAGCTCATTTACTGGTTACACATCCTGATCTAGACATGTTCCTTTGTAAACTGTTCAGCATGAAAAACTTCATCTTCCCAGTTTTTGCCAAGTAAAATAGCAACCCAAGCACCAGGAATGCCTGCTTCTACTTGAGGTTTGAAAAAAGAGCAGCAGAAGCATGTTGCTAATAGAAAACTGACAGATGTTTATAATTATGTAGATTTTCTTCTGTGTTTGAGTACCATAAACTCAATTGCATCTACTCAATTGCATTTGAAAAGTATGTCAGACCACTTATGACTTCAACCAGCCACTTCCTCCAGCTGGGTGAAACTCATATGAACTGCAACATGTACCAGACCAGTATTCTCTGTGTGGCTGTTTTTATGCTTTCAGTCATGTTATTATCTATTTTCAATGGTGGGTAAACTGTCATGGAACAGTTTTTGCTTCAATGAACAATCAGGAGTTTTGTGGGTTTGCATCTAGGATTATTCACAATGCACAAGATCCAAAGATCCTTGAAGTTGGTGAGTGCTGATGGATTTGGGAGTGCAGGCTTGAGAAAAAAAAGTACTTACCACGTCTGTTTTCAGTGATTTCTCTTTTGCCAGTAGTAATAAACTTAATTCTGATCCCAGTATGAACTGACAAAAACACATCTGAAAGCTCATGAGGAAAAATAGAAGTTATCTCATGAAGCAGACAATGTCGTGAAACCGAACACGCAAATGATGTCTAATTATGTTACTTGCCACATTCTGTTTCACAAAATACTTCTTTCTTTACAAAAAGAAAGTAATTTTTCCACAAGGCTACATAAATACACTGCTGATGTATATGCAACACTAGGAGGGGGATACGGTTTTTTGGTAAAAGGTGGCAGTTTGTTGAGGCTCATGCTGCCTACAGAAAAAGGCTGTTCCTGGCAGATAATAACTCTGATTATCCCCCAGAAGTGTTTTGCTTTTCTTTAATGTTTCAAATCATGTTGCTCTGAGATTCAGCACAGCTTTTCGTGTCTGTTGGTGTGCTAAGGATTTTTCTGTATCTTACCATGTAGGAGGAGATGCTTGGCTAGCTTTCATTTGGATATTGGTTGGACAAACCATTTGTTTCCTCTTGTAAAAGAAGCCTATACTGGTGTGCCTTGAGACCTGTATTAGTTTATTTTGCATCTCCTATGTGGTACTCTTCAAAGTGAGCAGAGCTTTTCTGAAAAGTGCTCATCAAAATTTGGAGATATGCATCATGATTCAAAGCCTTCAAGAAAAAGGAATATTTCCCCTACATTCTTGGGCAGAATGAAAATCATTAAGAATAAAACTTAGTTCTGTACTGGCCCCCAGACTGAACACAAAGAAAGAATAAATAATCTTTGGTTTACTCTGCAAGCTGCATCCAGCCTTCACCCTCAATTATGCAGCAAAATAATTCCCTTCCCTTGTCCCTCCCTGTTCCACCTCCAAGCCTCTTTTCTCCTTTATAGTCTAAGAGATAGAGTACATTTTTCACCATCATCTAAAATCAAGCAAAAGGCTTCCCCAAGTTTTCTGTCTGTCTTCCCTACAGTCCTGAAGATCTTCTTGCAAGGTTAGAGACGTGGCAAATTGTGTGTCCACCTTGGATTTAACAAGACACCCCTTTCCCTAGTCCTCTTGCCCGTTTTTGTCATATATGGTCTCAGTGAAAGGCTTGGACTGGACTCCCTTGGCATGTATTAAAGCAGCTGCCTGCATTCCCATGCTGTGACATGGGAATGTTACATGCAACAAGTGGAGCTGTTCTCTTGGTCCATCCTTTCCATCTTTTCCTCCCTTTTGCCCTAGTCAGCATAGACATTTTCTATTTTATTTTATTTTATTTTATTTTATTTTATTTTATTTTATTTTATTTTATTTTATTTTATTTTATTTTATTTTCAGTCACTTTGCAAACTTGTCTGAAGAATTTCCCCTGTTTGGTTTAATCCTGGTTGCTGCACAGGCATTTGTTCTGGGGTGAGGGAGGAAGGGAACTCTGCCAGGGCTGCATCCAGAAGCTCCACACCAGTTCTAGGGGAGTTCAGCCCCTCTTGGCAATGGTGCCAGCCCCTGTCTTTCAAGTATTCCTGGAACTGGCAGCATGGAGTACAGAGTTTCCTTATTTGTCACTACTCTGAGGAAATTATTAAATCAGTCTCATAGTGTAGAAGAAAATAATGAGCTAATCCAGAGTTGGTGCCATTGGATTGTTTTGGACCTGGCTCATTTCTTAAGCTTCTAACTTTTCTGCATGCAGATTTTATCCAATTAGTTTGGAGGCAGAAGTAGAGTTTCTTGACTTGATGTTTTCTTTCCAGGCCAAATGCCTGGAAGCTAGGGAGGGAAATAGATGGCACTGGAATAATAACCACCTTCCCTGAGTTTGAGCAAAGCAGTTAAGACCCACGGTTTTTTCAGTGTTTTCATAAACTTTGCCAAGCTGTACAAAAGGTGATGGGAGAGGAGGGGGTGTTCATTTTTTTTCTTTATTCCTTGATATACTCACTCTTTTTCTCAACTGCTAAACAAAGAAAGCAAGCAGAGAAGATGCTTACGTTTGTACTTTTCTGTTAGAAAATGTCTGTTTCTAAAATCTCTCACAACAGCCTCCTCTAATTTGTAATGATGCTTTTTTTCTTCTTTTCTCCCCACCCTGAACCCTCCACTCAAATGAAGTCTGACCTTTGCAATACCAGATGTCTGCTTGCTAATGGGGACTTAGAGCAATGTGATTCAGTTTCCATGTTTTAGAGGAATATTTATTTGGTTGTTCCTTAATAGAAATTTTAATTTCGTAACTGCTTTTTATGTAATGATGACCAGTAAAAATAATTTCATTTAAGAAGCCATTCCCCTTTTGTTTCCTGTTTATGCCTGCAGCATCTTTCAGGAGAGGTGCTGGCACAAGAGTTGCTTTTTCTGCAGCTGAGGCAAGTTTTCATGATCAGTAATGCAGGGCTCCAAGTCATCTGTGTCTACCTGTAAAGTTATTCATCCAGCAGTAATTTCACAGATATCTCTGTGGTGGAAAGTTCAGCCATGTACCTGGGGGAGAATGGGACTTAGAAGCAGTTCAAATTTAGTCTGGCTTCACTGGTGTGGACACCTGGGCACTGAAAATTGTGCTCTTCTCTGTTTGCTGCACAGTTACAACTCCCAACCCTGAGCACCGGCAGAATCCTTGCCTCCTCCATCTTCTAGGAGTTTACAAACTAAATGTTTTAACATCATTGTTAGTCTGTGCTCCACGAGTTATTCTTTCAAAGATTTTGCCTCAAGGAAAAATAAGGCTTAGCTGTCATTTGAAATTTACTCAGGGTCGGCAAAATGATGGCATTTGTCACTTTTGCTCTCCATCCTCTTCAAATGGGCCCTAGTATGTGTCAAGCTGAATATTGTGTTGGCTTCCTTCTTCTCCCTCTTTGTACTCCTAGAGAATGCCAAGTAATTAATACAGTCTAAAAATGAAGTGTGGCACAACCCCCTTTTTTCCCTTTGTGTAGTTTTCAAACAAAGAGGCTGTCATGAACCTACGTGCGTCCAATTCCAAAACCAGTTTGTTAAAACAAAATGACTTAGAGATACTGGGTTGGCCAATTTTTTATAGGGTTGGATCTAAAATAATTGGCACACTTGCTGTGTGCTGCTGTGCATTTCATGTTGTTGACCTTGTCTCCCTGAAGTCTGAATAGCCATCATGTCAGTGACAATGATGTGTCTGAGGGAGTCCTGCAATTATTTTAATATTTTGCATAATACCAGTGGAATTCAATAATTAGTTGTGAAGGTTCCGATCCAATTACTTCCTTCCCTAAACCAGGAAAAATGGTGGAAGTTGGTGATAAATGTTGGTAGATAGAAAAGAAAGTGTAACATAATTTGTGGTGTTCCAGTCACTTATTATTTTTTTCCCTTTCTCTCTTATTTTACAGGGCATGTTATTGAGCCATTCGTGAGGAAATGTGGTGAATGTAAACTTGCTCTGTTGGGGGGGAAATTGTGGTAAGTAAAACTGTCTTGATCAGTTTTGGTTTTCAACGAGAATTTCAGTAAGATTGTTTTAGCTTTTTTCAGGGTTTTTTTGGTATTTTTTTAAGCTCTGGAAAATACAGAGATACAGTTGATTATATGTGTTCTTTCCCTGGTACAGAGACTCGCAGTATGAGAAGCATTGACAGAGAACAGCATGCTGGGCCTCAGGGCGAGCAATGTGTTTTCATTTGCTCCAGTGGCATCTGCTTATTGTGTTTGTAGCTGTTCCATTCTGCTGAAGAGTGGTTCAGCTAAAACCTGGAGTAGAAGAAATAAAAAGGCCTAATTTAAACAAGGGGTACAAAAAAAAGCATGCTAGCTGTATAAAAGATCAGGAGCAAAAGTAAAGCAGAGGGAGCATGTATTTCCCAAAGTGGTGGGGGTGTCCAGTCACTCCACAATCTTTCCATCTCTCCCCAGAATGCCTGACTGACACCCTTGCCATGTGGAGCTAGGATGGTTTGCTTATGTGTGAGAGATAAGGAGAGTTAATGTGTGCTATACCAGTTTTCCTGTTCCTCCTTTCCATACCAGATGACAAGCTTTGCTGCTTGTCTGACTGTACTGTATGCAACACTTCTAGAGGCATCAGCTTCCAACAGATTTCTGTGGAGCTCAGTGCTCTGGGAATATGACACATCATGTGCTGAGCTGCACCACTCTGAGGGAGAAGGAGAGAGAAAAGAGCAGGAGGTAATTAGCAACATGTCCCAACTCGAGGGAAGTAATTCAAAGAAAGCTTTTCCAACCTGCAAAAAATAAAGGCAGCAGCTCTGGAGCAGTTCATGGGCTCCTCTTGCTTTTCCCTCTAGGAGATCTTCAATATACACAGTTCTGGATAGTACCAATCAATCACCCTTGGGAAAAGACACGCAGCAGAAGACCTGCTTTTCCTTGTGTGTCCCTGCTTTTCCTTGGCCAACCAGGGTATTGGGCTGGTACTTTTTCTCCAGGCAAAATGTGCAGATTGCAGATGAAAACTAGCTTATTCTCCACTGGCACAAGACTTAAGAATCAGATAGCCTGCAGGGTAGAAAACTGAAAATTAAAGACTGGCTCTGTGAGAACACTTGTTCTTTTCTACCATTAAAAAACCCCCAGATGTTCTTACATCATACAGAAAGATCTGGATTAGTTAGCAGATGTTTAAATGTAGATCACTTACCCTTCTGCAGAACATTTACTCTTAGAGACAGGAAAAATAGGATAGTCAAACCCAGAATTTCACAAAGAAGCTGGCCAAACACATGGAAAGTCCTGCACAGTTGTAGCTGGGTAAACTCTATTGCAGCTTATTCTTTTAAATTATTTTCTCTCTTCAGATCAGCTTTTCTGACAATTGTGCATGTTAAAAGTTTGCATTCTGTATTCTTATGAGAAATACAAATGACATTTTTTGAACTGGAATTTGGTTGTAGTGCCACAGATGAGCCATAGATCACAGCAACAGTTCATTAGTCCATGAGATTTTTGTGGTGACTTCCACAAAACTTTGTGACTTTACTACAAAAGAGGGTAGGATTTATATCTAGTTTTCTTTTTGGTGGTAGTGTCCTTCCTTACAGATTGGCTGAACTTTATGTGGGTCTGTGACAAAGTTCACAGGAGAACTATTTGGAAATAGTGATGCTATGTAACACCAAGGGGAAAAATATTTATCAGCAGACCTGGTAGTCAGATGGTTGTGTTCTAATTTCCTTCAAAGGTGCTTCTGCTGAGGCCAGCCTGGTCTCCATGGCCGACCTTAGTAAGAGAGCATAGCTCAAGAGCAGCAAGGGGAAAGCGACAGAAGCAGCATGCTTGTTAGAATCATGGAATAATCCTGGTTGGAAAAAACTGCCACAAAACTGCCAAGAAACTTGTGCGAAGTGTTGTCTTGTCCAAACCCCCCCTTGAAACAGGTCCTATTAGGTCAGGTTGCTCAGAGCCTTGATTTTCAAAATTCAGCTGGCTGGAAACTTTACAGCCCTTCTGGGCATCTGTTATGTCTGACCATCCTCAGAGTGAAAAAAAGTGCTTTCTTGTTGCTTCTTGCTCTTGTTCACTGTCTGTCAGTATGAACTCTGCATCTTCTCTGCCTGTGAGAGGGAAGTCTTGAAGAAGATCTCAAAATCAGGAAAGTTGTTTCATGTGGCTCCACGGAAATGTGGTGTCATGCTGCTGGATGCAGTAAAGTTGCTAGTAGGGAAAAAAAACCACAATCTGGTTCACAGAGGTTCTACTTGGGCAAGGTTTCTCAATCTGTAGTTGATGTTCAGACTCGAAGAGCATGGCTGATTGGCTTGGTTGAATTTTGAAATGTGGAAGAGGATTTCCTGACAAAAACAGATGCACCTGAAAACTGCCAGCTTTCCTCACTTGCTTATAGTGATGTAAGTCAATGAAAAGAGGCACTTCTCACTGCTGGGTTGTAAACATCCTGGAATTTTTTCAAGGTAGTCTGGAGCTGGGTTTGTGCTCCAGGATTTTACTCTAAAAATTGTTCTCCTGCAGCCATTAAAATACATAAACAGAGTGCAAATTTTGTATGTTTTCACAGCTGTCCTATTCAGTCTTCCCACTTCAAACTGTTTGTAACAGTCTTATTTTGAGGTAAAATAATCAGGAACCTTGAGTTTGTCATATGTAAGGATCTCTGAAATATCTCTGACCCCACTGTATGTTTGCCTATGGCATTACAAATTCCCAGAGAGTTTAAAAATAGTTGTAAAAAATGTAAGACAAGGATATTGTTTTGCCCAGCCTCTGTCCCTAACCTACTGAATCCAAGAAGTACTGGACATCAAGAGGATGTTTTGAATTTATCTTGACATAGCTCAGAGGCTCAGCAGTTATTTATTCATCTTATATCAAAGTCCTAAAAAAGGTCATGCAGCCTCTAGATCAAACATTCATAATGGATTTAAGAGCTGATTAGAGACGTACACTTGAATGCTGGGAGGGGAATCTTGGCTGGATCTAAAACTCCCTCAGCTGAGCTGATGACAGTGTGAGAAGACCCTTCCTTTGATGAGATTTCTGTAAAGCAGCCTTGTGGGTGTCAGAGCAGATATTCGTGTGGCACTGTATGTTTGTGTTGACCACGGCATGTGGAAGGCACTCATGGAACAGCCACCCTTTCCACATCACATGGAGTCATGGGAAGCCTGACTGATGCAGGACAGAAGACCTTTGGGGTGATCTCTGTTGTGTTTTTTACCATAGTCACACTGCTCTTTGCCAGTCCACACTCCCCTTAAAACTCTTGCCTTTCATAACATTTTTTGTATTTCTAGGCATGATTTACACTGTACAGTTTGGGGTTCTGTCGCTGTCCCTGCAGCTGCTTACAGCCATCAAAATAAGGGGAGGATAAAGCTGTGAAGTAAAATGAGGGACTGCTGTGCCATAAACCTGACCCGCATCTTTCTGGGCCAGGTGTGCAACTGAACATTCATCTATTTCCTATAGATTTCCTCCTCCCAGGAAAGCTGTGAACGCTTCAAACATTGGCCTTGATGTTAAATGTATATCTCAGGGCCTGGAGTCCATGGCTCTTTTCCCTCTGAATTTGGGCAGGGATACTTTCCCAAGTTGAGGGCTTTTTGAAGTTTCAGCTGAAATCTGAGATGCTTTGCTCCTATTTGCACACTTCTCCGTATACTAGCAGCAACTGCACATCTTAAACAATTGAGTCAGTTATTATAGCAGCTACTCAGATATATCAAAGAAAATTTAGATTTCTGCTAATACAGTCATCTGCTATTTTGTTTTTTTCCCCTATTACAACAGTCAAGTTTTCCTTCTCTCTTTATTTTAAACAACAACAACAAAAAAGTAGCAGGTAATGGCTTTTTTGATATTAAGAAATTATATGAAACTAAATTTTCAGCATCTTTATACGTAGTAAATTTGTTTGCCTTTAGAAAGACTGTGATGCCCTGTGTGTGCCTGGGTGTCCAATTTGTACAGTACAATTATTTATATCCCTGATGTCAACCAAAAATGCTATTGCATTTCTCTTGGTAATTCTTCACACCTGTCAGGTTTCTGACAAAAAGTGTTATAGAGCAACTATGTATTATCTGTGCTCTCAGTACAAAAATAACCTGCTGGGACTTTTGCTTTATTACCTGTATTCTGCCATACCCACAAGAGGATTTGCCAGAGTCATTAGCTGTTCTCTGTAATTAGGGCTGACCTGGTGCATTTTGGTCCTATTTCTGGCAGCTTTTAGTTTTCTGAAGTCGTTCATTTGGGCCTGATGTGCCTCATAGTGTTCTTCTGTTGCATATCTTCATTATCTCTTCCTATGGGCTGAAGATTATCTTTCTCCTTAGGAAGAAATGTGTGGGAAATGCCTGAACATTTTTATATACTTGGGGCTTACCAAGATTTTCTATGCTATATTTGTAATTCCTTCCATTTTAGTCTGTTTCTTTTCTTCCAGTCTAATCCATTCAGAAGATGTGAATGTTGATGCTGCTGGGTGTAGTAAATGTTAAATCTGGTCCATAAGATTTCTGAGGAATGTAGTTTGTCCCCTGCCCAGAACTGCATGTGTCCAGTCCCAACCAGATTGGATTTAGTCTGTTCTCTGTGAAGCATTGTTATACCTGTGTTCAGTTTATTAAATCTGATAACCCTACACAGCGAGCCTACATTCCAGTCTCCTCCAGAAGAGATCTTTGTGTCTCAGACTCTGTAATTTTCCTACATTTCCCTGGTAATTCATTTAATAAAGCTTTTTTTCCCTTCCCTTCCTCCCCTCCCACCCTCCCCCAAAGTTTTAGGTGATCCAATTGTTGGAATTACTCAGCAAAAGACAGTTGATCTGGGGGCCATCTATGTGGATGTCTCTCCCACTGTAGCCACTGGAGAAGAAATAGGGAAGGACAGTTAAAACAGCAGATGGAACAGAGCACTTCACACAACTGTATTTCCCAGCTCTCCTGGCTGGCTCCATGGCAAAGATGTTTGCATTGGATCAT